AGCAGGAGAGGAGAGGGGAGGTACTGGGAAGGAAGGAGAGGACAGTCCCTTCGCAGCAGCTGTGCAGACCTGGCTCGGCATAAACTGACGGGGTAGCCTCAGGCTTGGGCTTTCGCAGACGGTGCCTGGCTGCAGCAAGGACCTTGCTGCCTGCTCCACCTGTATCCGAGCTGCGGGACCACCTCAGCCTGGGATTGTCTCTGCAATAATAGTTGACGTTTGGGATCCTCATGAGGAAACAGGACACAGAGCAGTTGTAGAAATAAAAAATTACCTTGAGAATATAGAGCTTTGCTCTTCTCTATTAAAAAAACCTCACAGCCGTATGTTGCAAAGTTGGTTTCAGCAGAGCAGCCACCTGCCTTTGCTGTTCCCCACACTCTGCAGGTCTGGGTTGAGTTTGTTTTTCAGGACTTGTCCCTGTGTCTTGCCCACTTCATCCAGCCCTGATGATTGCTCAAACCCTCTCTCTGGCTTTAGCAAACCCCGGCCTATGCAGCCCTCTGAACCGTAACGGGGGCAGTGCTAGGCTAGCTCACCTGTGCCAAAACAGCGTCCAGGTGTGCGCTGGGCCATCACGTGCCCTGGAGCCGCGATCCTGGCTCTGATCTGGAATGCAGCCCTGGAGCCTCTCCTCACGAGGCTGTCTTTTATGAGGTACCTGTTTAGAGTATGTGATCTTTTTTCCTTTCCTTTTAAGAATTCCCTTTTCTTTTTTTCCTCAGAGAAACATTTGACGTCCCGCGGCAGCCATCCGCCTGCGGAGACAAGACTTCAAGGATGGAGGATCTGATAGAAAGGATGGCACAGATGGAAGAAGGAATGAGGTGAGAACAGTGACCAAAAATTACAGTCTTTAGTGTGGCCCCTGACAATCAACTGTAGCTGATGTACGCTAGGACAGGTTGGACAGAAGATTACAAATAAGCCAGACACAAAGAGGGCTCTGAGTTAGCAACAAATTTTGTCCAGGCTATACTGGGAACCCAGAGCCAATTTACGTACATATATATAACATGCAGATCTTCCACTTTCGGAGTATTTTATTTGCACTGTTGGTACTGACTCATAGAATCACAAACCACCCACTGGGCAAAGCACATCCTTGAAAAGTTTTGGTCTCTAGATTTTTTTTTTTCCTTGTGGGCTGATCAGGAATGGGAGGGAGGAAGTTTAGCTTGGGCATTTCTTAGGACTGTAATGGATACTTGCCTCCTGACTGTAATGTGGTTTATTATCTCTTTCTTGCCCTGATGGATGGACGGACAGAAACCAAAGAGTTTGCTTTGACTCTTATGAGACTCGGCTGAAGTTTCTGGAGAGTTACTACTGGTAATGTGATTCTTTATATTAAGAATATATATAAGAGGGAAAAATCATAAATACTTCTGCAACTATCGCTGAAACATACTCAAGCCTTGGTTATCACAGCTGTGTCCTGCAGGACAGACCAAATTTTCATTCTCCTGTTTGACTGCATTCTCATGGCCAGGCATGAGCTGCTTCTGAAACAGGTTTGTCTTGGAGTGCAGATCAAGGTACGTGACCAGGGCACGTGACGTGAAAACCTGTCCTGTTGTGAGATAAACTTTCGTTTCCGTGCAAATACTTCTCTGAATGTGTAATGGCTGCCTTAACAACAGTGGCCCTCAATATAAAGACTTCCAGCCTAATATAGAAAGGGGGGGTGGTAAAAGCACCTGTGAGGACAGTTTGAGTAGATGTGACGAGGTAGTCCTGGGTTTTCATTGTGAAAACTGCCCTCTGATGAACTAGGCAAGCGCTGAGGGAAGACATAGTGGCGGGAATACTGGGAAAAAGGAGGGAAACGGTTAATCAGGAGGAAAGAAAAAGTAATAATAACCTCATGGATGGCATCTTGGAGATAAAATGCAAACAGAAATCATTCTCAGTGACTAAGGCCAGGAGCAAATAAACTTCAAATTGTATAGCTGGGTGTCCATACCCTTGCTGAACAGCTTTGTGCAGAAGAGGCTTTCTTCTTGGGATTTCCATGAAGACAGGCCGTGGTAGTTTAGTTTCTGATCACGGCTGGAGTATCTGTCGGGTCCTGAAGGTTTGCAGGTGTGCAGTCATGGATAGTCTGGTAGTGAAGGAATACTCAGACTTCCTGAATCCTTGGAGCTTTCTTCCAGAGTGGCTCAAGTTTGAGACTTGGGCTAAGGCAAAGGCTCCCAGACACTGGACCTAGACTCAAATGATGACCAAGCTCAGTCACTTGTGTCCTTGAGTTTGTTTGCCTAATTATGGAAGACTGTCAGGAAATCAGTCTAGATCCAGATTACACCTCCCAAATTCAGGTCCTCATTCTTGGTTTGTTCCCAGGTCTGTCTTCTCAAGATAGATTGTTTTCTTCCATCTCTAGGCAGCTTACTGCATCTGGTAATTGCAATATGCAGAAGACCAGCAACCCTGATCATCCTTACCAGGTGGGACACAGGAGCTATCAGGAGTGAGTATTGGGTTTTTCTGAGTTTCCTCTTCTAGGTATTGTTCTTTCACCCACAGCCAGTCATCTTCCTCCACTATGAATAATACATATACCACCTCCAAGGTTAGACAAGCTCTGAACCCAACCTTTCTGTGTGCAGTAATGAAGGTAATTTAATTGACAGAGCAGAAACTTGATGGGATAATTCACAAGATCAGAATATTAATATAAGATGGTATGGCTTACTCTGAAAGGAGGGGAAAGAAACATGGGACAAGAGGGTTCCTTTAGATTAGGGCTGCACGTACTTGTTCTGGGATCTGTAATACAGAAGACACAATCTCTAAAAACCTCTGGTGAATGGTAAAAAGCAAAAAACTTCCAGCATTTTTAGAGTGTAAGTAAGTCTGCAATCGACCTAGGGTCATGGTGTAGAGGGGGCTTTTTTAAGCTCTAGTAGTTTCACCTGAAGAGCTTTGGAAATGGGAGAATTTCACCCACTGGAGGAATAGGAGACTGACATCATCCAGACATTTGTAGAGAAAGGAATCCAGGAGAACAGAACTCTCTGGAGGGTTTGGGATGTTTGGTCATAATGTTTTGATGTTAAAGACAGAGAAAACAACTAGAGAAAAGACAAGAGTGGATTCTAAAAAGTGGAGAATAATTGTGCTTTCTTCAAGCCTCCAGCCTCTGATTCTCACAACCCCACCTCCCTTTCTTCTGATGCAAAAAGCTTTCCCCTTGATTTGAGCATAAATCCTAGGTGGGGGCTTTCAGGGGAGGTTGTTAAGCTTCCCTGGAGTTTTTCCTGGGTACTCTGTGCTTTCCCACCTCATGCTTTTTTGCTGGAATTCAGACTATTCGATAGGGGCAAGTCCACTGTTGTCGCAGTGTCTGAGCACAAATAAAGAGATCTCACAAAAGAAATCTCTTTCAGAGCATTTCCTGGCGGGGTCGTCCAAAAAGAGCTTCAGGAGAAAGAGGACTATAAGAAGCTGGAAGAGAAGGTCAAACAGCTAGAGTCAAAGTAAGATATTTATTCAGATTTCTGATGCAATGTGTGTTTCTACACTGAAAAGCCACATACTTCTTGCTTCCTCCAGTCCTCAGGGACTCTCTCTTTCTGACTAGACAACCTAGACACCTTCTACCCAGACTTTCAACCTACCAGCATCTCTTTGTAACCGATTTCTGAAGATGGCTTGGTTGTTCTGGAAAGGGAAGGAGACATTCCCAGGCTGACCACGTGAACATAAATAATAATAAAAGAAATCAGCCTACAATGACATCGTCGAGATGCCGCTCTTTGATCCGATTCCGCTGCAATCATGCGAAACTGAGCTGAGAAAGCGCTCTTTCTCACACGAAGGCTGCTTGCCACCTGTGTAATATAGTTTGAGAAGTGCATTGTAGAAAACACGGGATTCATGAAATAGATTCATAACACACTGTAAACCAGTTATGCTTATTCATTGTTTCATCTTGTCTTAGCTAAGTTTTTTAATATCCTTCTTGCCCTAGAAACAAAAAGCTCTTGTCTAAAGTGATGGGCATGCACAAGCACTCTGAGAACATGAACGACCCTTTGCGTTTGTCTGCTGTGCTGCAGATGTATGAGGTGCTCAGAATACATGACTGGGAAAATCTCAGGA